TAAAGTTGACCACATAAAATTTTTAATATTCAGTAAGGTCCAAAATAATATAAACTCAAAAGTCAAAAGACAAATCAGAAAGAGATATTTGCAGATGACATTTACCCGGTATGTGAATCAACAGGGAAATAAAAGAACAGAAATGAAAATGGCTGAAAGATTTGAATAGACCATTCCCCCAATAAAGAAATACAAATGATCTATACACCATATCAAAATGTGTTCAATTTCTCTATTTAAAATGCATGCAAATTAAACTTACTCTGAATTATTTCTTCACCTCTCAGATTAGCAAAGATTTAAAAGGTTATTAATTCCAGCATTGGCAAGGATGTGAATAAACAGGTACTATTACCCACTGTTGGTAAGAATGCAAACTGGCATAACCTTTTGGAAAGCAATCAGGCAACATTTATTAGAAATATTAATTCTCATATCCTTTTGATTCTTCAATGTCACATCAACAGAAATAGATTCACAAGTCCTCAAGAGATGTGCTAAGAAAAGGAAGCCTACTGCAATATTGTGTATAAAAGCAGAAAGCTGTTAATAACCTAAATGTCCACTAATAGGAGATTATAAAGTATTGTACATTCATACACTAACATACCACAGTATCATTAACAAGAGTGACACTAATTCTAGGTGTTTAACATACAAATGTGCTTAAGATGCATCATTAAGTCAAGAAAAGCAAGTTGTAGAGCTATATAGACAGTATAATCCTATTTTGGTAAAATTTGTTAACATACACAAAGAAAAAAACTCTTAAGAAAATATCCACCAAACTATTAACTATTATATTTATTTCTGGTGAGTGAGATTCTGTGGGCCTTTACTTTTCACTCAATTTATTCATGTTTTTCAACAAAAACTTATTGATTACCTACCACCTACCTATCATTGATCTCAAAGGAACTCACATTCTATGTTTGCACAACACTGGAATTCTTTTCAACAAACATTATTATCATATTAGGGAAAACAGGTTAGACATTTAAAAGAGTACATTTTATTTTTTTTAATGTTTATTTATTTGAGAGAGAGAGAGAGACAGAAAGAGAGGACGAGTGAGAATGGGGCACAGGCAGAGAGAGAAAGAGAGAATCCCAACCAGGCTCTGCACTGTCAGCGCAGAACCCGATGTGGGACTCAAACTCACAAACCGTGAGATCATGACCTGAGCCGAAGTTGGACACTTAACCAACTGAGCCACCCAGGCCCCAACAAGTACCCTCCAGAGATGATTCTACTTGCTGGCCCTCTTTACCTCCTTTCTAATCTACTGCACCAGTGTCTGGAATCCAATCCCCCTGCTCCCTCTTTCCACTCTGTGCCCTCTCTTTTCCTTCCACTACCAGGATATCCCCCAGTCTTTCTGCTCAACTTGGGGCCAGGCTCTCCCATGAAGCTGTCAGTGATACAACCAGACTGTGATACCTACCTCTGAACTGACAATGAAGCTCATAGACCACCCTCTCTGCAATCATGTGGGATCCCCTGGGATCCAGGGGCCGGCCCTATCATCTATAACATGCCATCAAACACATAATGCCGGGCACACAGAAGGGGCTCAATAATGTTGGCTGGATGAGGTCTGTGTTGGTGATGGAGCTACACTGCTCAGATCATCCTTCCAGAGAACCTTGCCCTGATCCCTGGGAGGATGACTGTCAGGACCATAGCAGCAGGCTTGAACGTCTGGCTAACAGTTGGGTTTAGTACTAGAGGACAGAAGAAGGGTGAGGTCAGAGGATTTTATTCCTCAGGGGATTGCTCCCTACTAGGCTGGCCCTGTCCCTCTACCAATGGTCCTGACTCCTATCAACTAGATCTCTCCATTTTCTCTCTTGCAGAATTCCAGTGATTGCTCTCTCCCTTCCCCCTTCAGGCCTGGGGTGACAATGGCTCCCTGTTGTTACCAGCTCTGGAGTACTGCACCAGCTCTTGTGGCTCTTAGTAAATCCTGCCCAGAGTTCTATAATTAGCCCTTTAGTAAATGTTCCTCATTTCTTCAGCCAAGTGTGCCATCTGTCTCCTGCTGGGCCCCTGACTGCTATAACCACTGTTCCACGCAAGATTTTTTTTTATAATAGCAGAACACTGGAAACAAGCTAATTGTGAATCATTAAAAACTGATTAAATAAATTATGGCACATCTGCTTAATGGTGTTACATGCTACCACTAAAAAGGATTCAGGAGATCTAGTCACCTGCATGAAAAGATGCCCAAGCATTTGTTAAAATTTTTAAAAGCAAGATTCGGAATAGCCTGCACTGTATGAACTCATTCATTCAAAACGTAAAATCTACATTTGTTAAGGCTGGGATTGCAGGTGAGGACACCCCTGCTCAAAACAAACCTAACAAAAGCATGAAGGGGGGCGGTGAGGATTTTCTGACCCCATCTCTTTCTATCACTCATCTCTGCTTTCCTGTGTGGTATCTTCACGCTTAGGCAGGTGGTCTTCAAGTGGTGGCGGAGAAAGTACCTGTTCGGCTCACAACATCTGGACATCCTGACAGCTGACCACCTCAGCACAGAGGGCCTTGTTCCCAACTGCTTTAGCAAAAAATCCTGGGCCAAAGCAATCAGGACAGACTTGGACTTATGCTAACCACTGAATCATACATACTGAGAGTGGAGAGGGAGGATCCCTAAGAAAAAGGGGGCATTTCTTCCCGGAGTAGGAGACACAGAGCAGGTGTAAGCAGCAGGGATTCGCTTAGAGGGAATATTTGTAGTTGGTATTTGTTATGTTTTTTGGCTTCCCAGTGTCTAAACCCCCCCTCCCTATTCTGGAGAGTCTCCTACCTTCTAGAGCACGTATACTGGAGCCTACCCCCTGCTATACATACTGAAAGTGCCAGAAAGGCACTTTCCCAGCCTCCCTTTTTGCCAGGCAAAACATGTGACCCAGGCTGAGCCATTTACATGCTCTCATCTCAGGCTTTGGCTCTCAAGCTGGTAATACAAAAAGGGGCCTGTGTCAGGGCCCCTGGGTGGTTCAGTTGGTTGAGTGTCTGACTCGATTTTAGCTCAGGTCACGATCTCACGGTTTGTGGGATCGAGCCCCAAGCTGTCAGCACAGAGTGTGCCTGGGATTCTCTCTCTCTCAAAATAAATAAACAAACAACTTTAAAAAAAAAAAAAAAAGGCCTGTTTAGACTCCATCCTGGTATAGGGTGCAGCCATGGAATGATCTGGGGCATTGTTCTTGGTTGTCGGGCCTCCAAGATTGGTTTTTTGGCCCTTGTAGGATCTGTGACTACAAAAAGAACTTTGTATTAAACCCTCTTTCTACTTTCTATCTAGAGGTTCAATTTCTACAGTTTGCAATCAAGAAGGTTGATCAATGCCTACATGTACATATTGCATGTTTGTATATGTGTGAAATATCTTTGGAAAGATAAAACAAATGTGAATATTGGTTACCTACCTATGGTAGGACCAGGACAGTGGGAGAAGAGGGAAAGGGGCTTTTACTTTCATGTCCTTTTGTACTGTTGACATTTATTTTTTATCACGCATATTACTTTTATAATGAAACAACTAGTTAGTAAAAAGGTACCCGGATAAATAGGATAAGAAAAGGGTACAATTTTTCAGGATTTCCACAGAAACAAATGTCTTCACCAGACCTTCAAAAGGAAGTTATCCTCACCTCTGTTGTGAATGGGGCCAAATCTAGAAGCGAGTGAGAGTGTACCACCTCAGACACTGGGCCTAAGTGATTAGCTCTAGCCCTGTAACTCACCTGGTCACTTTCCATGCCTCCCCATTACTCACAGAATAAATCCCAGTCTCCATCCCGGCCCTGAAGCCCATGGCAATCTGAGTCCTGTGTACTTTGGAGATCTCTCCTCATCTTTACATCGTGCTTAGAAGACTTTCTTCCAGCCCTGCTGGCCCAGATCCTAAGGGTATTACCGTCTTCTCTGATCTTCCGATGCCATGACTTTTATTCCTTCTTCAGGCCCTCATCAAGTTTTGATCTGTGTTACAAGTCTATGTACATGAGACTTAGTCCTTAACACTCATGTACTGAGCACCTACTATATGCCTGGCCGTCTTCTAGGTTTTGGGACCACAGCTCACAGTCTATGCAAACCAATTACCCCATATCCGAATGTTGATGCTATCACGATGAGCAGGCAGCAAAAGCAATTTGCAAACAGTACTGCCCTTGTTAGAACATTTTTCCCCTCTGCTTGCATCATACTCTCCCCAAATGTCAGTATGGTTCCATTTTTCAATTTCTTCAGGTCTGTGCAAGTGCCACATTCTCCTTGACACCTTCTCTACCCACCCTATTATAAAATAACATCCCATCCTCTATCCTATTTACTTGGATTTATGTTATGCTCTATTTATTGCTTTAGTAGCACTCATCACCAACAGACATACAAGTTACTTACTTGTGTATTTACAGCTTGTCTTTTTCCACTGTCAGCTCGAGAGGCAGGGATTTTATTTTGTTTCCCCCAGCTTCTCCAGTACCTAGAACAGTGCAGAGTTGGCACTCCATAAATGTTTGCTGAGAACAGGAAATTGGGCTGGATGTCAGAAGAGCTGGTCCTAGCACAGCTCTCCTCCAGGACAATCGTGTGGCCTTTAGCAACACTCAACCTCCTTTAAGCTTTTGTTGTGTCCTCTGTCAATTGGAGTGGTCATCTGAGGCCTCCCCGGTGGCTGACAGGATGCTGTGAGGACCACACGTGGGTCTCGAATTTCAGGGTGCACCAGAATCACCTGGAGGGCTTATTAAAATACAGGTGTCTGGACCCACACACAGAATTTCTGATCCGGTAGGTCTGGAGTGGGGTCAGGGAATTTGCGTTTGTGACAACGTCCCAGACGGTGCAGATTCAAGAATCACTGATGAAAACAGATGAGGGACAGGAAGCGCTGGTAGCCTTAACTCCCAGGTAAGGACCCACTCTCAAGGACCCACTCTCAAGGCCCCGCAGGACGTTCCGCGCGGTGCAGCAAGCACAGAATGGATCCATCCGCCCCTCGCTCCAGCCAACAACTCTTCAGGAAGCGGCCGTGTAGCGCCAGGCGCTGGTGGAGTAGGGGGCGGCGGCGCGCCACAGGCCGGCCCCAAGCGGCGGCGGACCTAGACCCCGTGGTTCTGAGCTCGCACCAGGAGTGGTCTGCAGCAGCCGCTCCGACCTCCGCACGGGGCAGGAAGTCCCCGAGCCTCCGGAGAGGGCCGCCACTGGGCGCCGCACGGGCAGGGCCGGCCCCGGGAGTCGGGGCGCGGACGCCGCTCGGAGGTCCGGGAACTCGCCGTCCTTCCCGGCGCGGCGAGGACGCGCGGCCGGGACCCCGGCGCGCGCCCGGCACGACAGTAAGGCGCGGCAGCGGTCTCGTCTCCTCGGCGCGCGCCCGGCATTGGTCAGTAGGGCGTGGGTTGAAGGCGCTGGCGCGGTTCAGGGGCGATGGCGCGTCAGGGCGGACGGGCGCGGGTCTGGGGCCGCGATGTATGATGGGAGTGGTATTGCCCCCGGTCTTCCAGCTGTTGCTGGCGCGCCCGCGACCAGGGCGACACGGAGATCGGCGCGGCGGTCATTGAGCCGGGGCGGCGGAGCCGGCGAGCGTGAGCCCGAAGCGGGCGCAGGTATCGGCGGGGGTCGAGGTGGTCAGTCTGGCGGCGGCGGCGGCGGCGGCGGCCGGAGCGCCCGTGCCTGTGGACTGCTCAGACGAGGCGGGCAACACGGCGCTGGTAGTTCGTCATGGGTCAAATACGAGCCGCTGCGCGCTTCTTTGCCAGCCGCGGTTGCCCGGTCAACAGCCGCAACCACTACGGCTGGAGCGCGCTCATGCAGGCAGCCAGGTAAGGGGCCGGGGGGCCTGGGGGTGGTGGCCCGCCGTCCCCGGGGCGAGGCGGGCCCAGGTGGCCGGCGCTGACCGGCGCCCTCCGCGGACGCCCCGGGAGGCAAAGAGTCAAGGACTCGTTCCAGAGAGCTGGAATGGTAAACTTTGAGCAACTTGGGATACTACAAGAAGTGGAAGTGCTCTTTAGTAATAAAATCAGAATCTTAGAAAGAGTGGGTCTTTTGAAACAGAATCTGAAGACCTCGTCGAGTGGAATCTTAGAGACACGCAATCTTAGATTCATTCCTTCTTTCAACATGGGTTTCCTACGAACTTACCTACCCACCTAGCCTGGAAATGGGACACTGCGGGAGCCAGGCAAAGTCCCACCAGGAGCAGCTCACGTCCCGGTGGACAGGCCACACAAGAGATCGGGCTTGTTGGGGAAAGTGCGGGGAGCTCTGGGGATGGCAGACCCAGTTTGGGGAAGTGGAGGAAGGTTTTTGGTAAGAATGATGTATATATTCATGTCAAGACTCCGTAAAAATTAACCAGGACTTAAGAAGTGGGAATGGGGTGATTGGCTCACGCAAAGGTTTAGAAGCAAGGGTGAACATAAGGCATTGTTAGGACCGCTAGACTGATGTCAGTAGGAGGAGGGGGCTAGACTTAGTGGGAGGTGATCCTTCCCTGGAGAGAAAGGGGCAGATGCCATGTGGCAGGGGCTGAGAAAGATGAGCTATCCTAAGGGCACTGGGGATTGATAGAAGGTTCTAGACAGAATGAGTGACAGAATCAGATTTATGTTTTGGAAAGATCACTTTCACTGCAGTGTGAGGACAGATTGGAGGGATGGGCTGGCTAGCGTCAGAAAACCTCGTTAGCAAGGAATTGCAGCAGTCCAGGGAGAGGTGATGGTAGCCTGGACCAGAGCAGAGACAACAGTGGGAAAACAAAGAGATGTTTGAGATGTACCCAGGAAGCAGGGTGAACAGGTGAACAGGACTTGAAACCCTGGTAGGAAGGACCTCAGATGTACAGTAAAGCCACTCACCTCTGTTGGCCATCTACTTGGGTCCCACCCAGCCGTTAGTTTGGTCTCTGGTGAACACTCTTGTGTCAGAAATGATTACATCCATGTTTTTTCCTGCTCTGAAAATGATAGCCTTTATTGAGCACTTTTTGTGTCAAGCACCCTGTAAAGTGCTTTAAATGAAGTAACTCATTTGGTCCATACAAGACCTTAGGAAGTATAGGTAGTGTCACCCCCTTTTTACAGATGAGGAATTGAGGCTCAGAGTTAAGTAACTTGCCCAAGGTCACACCGCTAGTAAGTGGCAGAGTCACATTCACACCCAGGCAGGTGGCTCCAGAGCCTGTGCTCCCCAGCCTCTGCTCTCGGCCACAAATCCTGTGACTGTTTCCTCCTGGTGTTGACCACAGGGAAGCTACTTGCCAAACTGGCCAAATGCTAAAGAGACAGGTTGCGTGGTGTTGACCCTAACTTCACCCTTGGCCTCTTTGCTTCTGTCCTTCATTTCTCTGCCTGCCGGTGTGGCAGAGCTGGCCCCTCTGCTTCATGCTTTGGGTGGTGGGAGTTTGTGCCAGGTCTTTAAACACAGGTGTTAATTGCCGAAATTAATTGGCAGTCACAGCAGCTGTTCAGAAAGCCCCAAGCTTCCCTATCCTCAGTAATTACTTATTAGAAACTTAGCATCCACAAAATTATCTCAGCCTTCCTTGAGTTCTTTTATGTTTTCAGCCTAATTGAATGACTGCTTGGGCTACCCATGGATTCAGAAAGCATTCCAAATGTCAGCATTTCTGTCCAAATTCATCGCTTTTCTTTCTCTCTAAAAATTTGTTATATCAGAAGAGCTGGGATTTGGGATTTTAGGGTCTAGGTTCAAGTTTTGATTCTGTCAGTTTCAAATTGAGAGGCCCTGAATTTGCTGCTTTCCATTCAAATCTTTAGTTTCCTCACCTATGAAATGGGCATTATCAGTTTATTTCAGGGTTTATTAAGATCAAGTGAAGGGCACCTGGGTGGCTCAGTTGGTTAAGCATCTGACTCTTGATTTTGGCTCAGGTCCTGATTTCCTGGTTAATGAGATTGAGCCCTGCATAGGGTGCTGAGTGCGTGGAACCTGCTTGGGATTCTCTCTCTCCTCTCTGTGCCTCTCCCCCAGTCATGCACCCCCCCCTTCTCTTAAAGTAAATAAATATTAAAAAAAATCCAATAAGAGGAAGGGGCGCTTGGGTGGCTCAGTTAAGCACCCAACTTCAGCTCAGGTCATAATCTTGCAATTTGTGAGTTTGAGCCCTGTGTCAGACTCTGCGCTGACAGCTCAGAGCCTGGAGCCCGCTTTAGATTCTGTGTCTCCCTCTCTCTCTGCTGCTGCTCACACCCTGTCTCTCTTCTCTCTCTCAAAAATAAACATTAAAAAGAATGTCCAAAATCCAGTTAGAGGTGTGGTTGGGTGGCTCAGTCAGTTGGTTGTCGGGTTCTTGATTTCGGCTCAGGTCATGATCCCAGGGTCATGGGATTGAGCCCTGTGTCAGGTTCCTTGCTGAGTGTGGAGCCTGCTTGAGATATTCTCTCTCTCTCTCTCTCTCTCCCTTGCTCATGCTCTCTTTCTCTCTTTCTTTAAAATAAAAAAAGATCAAATGAGACCAAATTGTGACAATACTTTTTAATCTGATGTTAGGAATTATACCAGATTTTATTTTACACTTGATAACTAAATAGCATGATTTTAAAAAATTCTCTACCTCAGTGCAGGATACACCAGTTCTTTAGTTACTCCCATTGTCTGCCTCCGGACCATCCTCTATCTACTTAGTTATGCCAGTGTTCATTTAGTCACTCATTCATTTGCCAGCAGTTACTGAGCCCCACTGTAGGTCAGCCAAGAGTCCTGTCCTTGGGGAACACACAGTCCGACAGGAAGACACAATTGTAGAAGGCTCAGGTGCATAGATGAAGGGCACCTGGACTAGTGTGGAGGGTCTGGGAGCTGCTCAGAGGTGAGGTCTGAATTGAGTCCCGCAGCCGGATGAAGGGTGTGCTCAGGAGATAGGGACAGGGGAAGGCTCTGGTCAGAGAGGCGGCATGGCAGAGGTGTGGGAGGAATATAATCAGTGAGTGCAGACGTTGGGGGCTGGGGGGTGCTGGCATGGGGGTTGAGTGGAAATGAAGCGGACAAAGTCAGCAGGTCTTCCTCAGACATTGGGAAGCTGGGAAGTGGCCGTGAAGTTTAGGTTTGGGCAACACCATCACGGAGGATGGGCAGGAAGGAACAGGACTGGAGGCAGGAAGATAGGTTGGGGTTGCAGCTTTCTGCATTTGAGTTTATGTCCATTTGATTTGCTCCCTCTCTGCTCTTGGAGAAGAGGAGGGACAGGCCCAATTCACCAAGCTCTCCCTCCAGAGGCTGAGCTGACTCGGTGCCGTTAAGGTTCATGTCCCCCAAGGTATTTGTAAGTCCAGATCAGAGTTTGGCCTTGGCTTTGCCTCCACAGGGAGAAGGGAGGCCCTGGGTTTATAGGAGGTTTTAAAACACACACACACACACACACACACACACACACACCTCACTTCCGGAAAGGAGGGGAATGCAACGAGAGATTCAAAACACTGCCTCACAGATGTAGACATTATGCAGGCATTATGGTTTGGAACCGCCGGCCCCTCTCTTGTCATTCTTTCCCAGTTAGTCTAGGGCTCCTTCCAACTCTGACACACACTGCTCTGAGCCTAGTGTGCCAACCAAATCCTACAAAACAGGTCTTTCCTGCCCCCTGGTGGCAAAAGAAGGAAGAGATTTTGCTGGGAAGAGGCATCTGTTTTCGTCTTCCTGGTATGGAGTTGGAGGTCGCTTGTTTATATCTCCCTGGCCAGCTCAAGATTCAGGGAGAAAGGTTTGGCCCAGGCCCATTTCTTAGCCACTGGCAGCGGACACTCCTGCCAGCAGGTGGCAGCAGGCCTCTGGTAAGAGGAGCCTGAGCCCCTCTCTGCTGACCACAGCCATGCCACACCTCTTGGCATGGGGTGCATTGGCTCATCTTGAAGGACCTTCTGTGTGTGCGTTTGGGGATGGGTAGACATGAGTCAGATGTGAGCTCTGCCCACGGGAGTCAGCACAGGCAGAGATAGATTACAAGACTATAAAGCAGAATAAAATGAACTCTGAGATGTGGGACGCAGTATAGTGTAGGGGAAAGAGTGAGTACATCGGGATTCGGACAGACCTGGGTTGTGACCTGACACCACCTCTTACCAGCTGCATGACTTCGGTACTTTGTGTAACGTGTAAGGTAAAACGATTATTATATCTTAACATTCATGAGGTACTTCCTTTGGCCAAAGTCTGTTATAAGTGCTGTATATATATATCATATATATGTATAGTAACTCATTTAATTCTCAACAGCTCTTGAAGTAGATACAGTTACATCCTTATATTACAGATAAGGCAATGAAGTCATGAAGAAGCTAAAGTTCTTTTTCAAGATCACACAGCTAGTGATTGGATCCAGAGCTGGATTCGAACCTAGACAGGGCAGTTGCTCACCTTTGTGCTGGTGGATACCAGAAGACTTTTTATAATAAGTAACTGCTATGATTTTAATAATTAATGACAAATGAGGATCACATAAGCTGTTTCCTTATCAATGTTCCATGTTAGTGTCACTAATTCTCCATCTTCCTGGCAGATTTGGGCATGTGAGCGTGGCACACCTCCTTTTGGATCATGGAGCTGATATCAATGCCCAGAACCGTCTAGGGGCCAGCGTGCTCACTGTGGCCTCTCGGGGTGGCCACCTGGGTGTGGTGAAGCTGCTTCTGGAAGCTGGTGCCTTTGTGGACCATCACAGCTCCTCAGGCGAGCAGTCAGGGGACAGCAGGGATGAGCTGTTGGACATCACAGCCCTGATGGCTGCCATCCAGCATGGGCATGAGGCTGTGGTGCGTCTGCTGATGGAGTGGGGCGCGGACCCCAACCACGTGGCCCGAACCGTGGGCTGGAGCCCACTGATGCTGTCAGCACTCACTGGGAGGCTTGGCATGGCTCAGCAGCTGGTGGAGAAGGGGGCCAACCCTGACTACCTCAGCGTGTTAGAGAAGACCGCCTTTGAGGTTGCACTTGACTGCAAGCACAGGGACCTTGCAGACTACCTGGACCCACTGACCACTGTCAGGCCCAAGACAGGTCAGGCTGTGCCACCACCAATTTCCTTCCCTTCCTTGCCTTGGCTTCACAGAGGACCCTAAATTGTGTTTGAATGACAAAAGCTGAGGACTGCCCAACCAGAGGGCGTGTGCAAATCAGAAGTTTAGCCTACCGAACAATGGGTCTTAAGATGTGCTGTGCATAAGAATCAGTTGGGAGTACCTATTACTTGCAGGTTTCTAGCCCACCCTCCAGAGAATTATTTGGTATCTCTGGAAAGAGCCTGGAACCCCCATGGCAAGGCCCCTCCTTTCTAACCAGATGATTTCAATGCAGGATGTTCTGGGATCTTTCTAGGACAGGGTTCAGCAGACTTTTCCTGTAAAGGACCAGATAGAAAATACTTTAGACTATGGGCCAGTCTCTGTCAGAACCACTCATTCCGCTAGAGTGAAAGCAGCCAGACATTATATGTAAATGAGTGGGTATGGCTGTGTTTCAGTAAAACCATAATTACCAAAACAGGCTGCAGAGCAGATTTGGCCCGGGACCCCTGCCAAACTGTGTGCCCTCTGCCCTTGAGGACCTTGGCCTCCGTAGGGGAGACAGGCGAGAAACGGGAAATAAACCTACTGGAAATAATAACTTACGTAGTAGGCAGGTGGTAGGTACCGCGCGGGGGAGGAAAGCGGGCAGGGCTGAGGTTTGGGGTGTGGGGGTGATGAAGGCTGCCGTGTGGTTGGGCGGCCTCCTTGAGCATGTAAGACCGTAGCCGACATGGAAGCTGAGGGAGTGCTCCCGGCCTGCTCTCAGGGAAGAGCCTCCAGGTAGGACAGCAGCAAGGGAGAGGCTGTGTTAGCAATGATAGATTATTATGTAAGTAACTGTTTATTCCAAGCTCTTTTTGTGAGGTGCTAGGAAGTTCACCTTGAAGACCCCCAGCTCTCTCCCTCTCATTAGCTGCAGGATAGGGTACCATCGAGGCTATAACGGTCATTGTGATACACCCCACCGTGGTGGTTCCTTGGGCTGGGAAGGGTCCCCAGAACTGTGGTGCTATTGATGCCAACACCGGCATCTGGAATGAGGAAAGGGCCAGCCCAGGGTCACTTGGCATCAATGGCACAACTGCCCGGGCCTCCTGGGGCCAGGCTAGAGGGTCAGTCATTCTTTTGTACCAGATGGTTGCTTAGCAACCAGCACTAACGTCAGGTGACATACTATTTTTTGTCAAAGGGTCTTGGTATGAGAAGGCCCCTCCCATAGCAAATTAGACTCTTAGACACTTAAAGGAATGTGACCTATTTAAAACTAAGATGCAGAATCTTTTTTTTTTTAAGTAGTTCTTCCTGCCCAACATGGGGCTCAATGCAAGTCTTGAACTCACAACCCTGAGATTAAGACCTGAGGTGAGATCAAGAGTCCGATGCTTAACCGACTGAGCCACCCTGGCTCAGAATCATTTGTTAATAGTATTGCCCAGGCAAAATTAGACATTTGGTTCCATGGCCCTGTCTGTCCTCTATAAGAACTCTGGAGTTAAGTACCACCCTTTCTGGGGTGGGTGCTAATCACCAGTGAAGGCAACAAAAATTGCTCTTTGAATGAGGCCTAAGGCTTTCTGAAGCATTCTCCCACCTATATTAGTGATCCCTGCAACCACCACACGGTCCCCATATTAGCATGTTATCCCCTGTTGTTGATGAGACCAATCACCCTGGAAACGTACTCAAATTCTGATACGCCAACTCCAGACTCGGTGGTCCCTGAACTGTGCTGCAGCTTCTTCCCAGCTGCCCGAGGGGCTGACCTGAACCTGAGATTTAGCCCAGAGTCACAGGTCCCCCTCACAGCCACTCCATCCCTAGAGTCAGAGATTGCAGTAAGTCCTGCCTTCAGCCACCTGTGAGGGGACTGGTCATGATGATGTCTACTGTCTGACAGTAGCACAGTACTCACCAGCTTGGAGGAAGGTGGCAGATGAGCAGATGAAGGAGGGGCAAGCGTTGGTGGGTGCAGCAAGGCCCAGGTTTGGGGGTAGGCGTGGGCTTCTGGACCAGCTGAGGAGCTGGGCTGCAGGGACCAGCACGGAAACCTCAGGTGGGCAGTGGTCTGCAGAGAGCCATGTCTGCAAGTCTGGGGCAGAGTGACTCTCAGAATCCTTCAGATTCCTTATTTGGGAAGGAAAACAAAAATTAACATTGGCTTTTCTGGTGGCCGTCTCGATGACCTCCCTCTGGGCTCAGCTGTTGTCTCGGACCCTCTGTTTTGGAATTATCTCATGGTTGTACATTTAGTTTTCAGTAGAAAAGAACCACTTTCTTTTAAAATTTTTCATAGGAATCCAGATTTTTCCAAGACTATACTTTTCCATTACATCTAAGAGAGGCTATCCCAGAGTTTGGAATGCCCCAAAATGATTGCTTCGTGAGTGTGGGATCAGGAAATGTTCTGCTTATTCATGTTTTTTTGGCCAGATGACTGCCCAAGATCTATCTCTGGAGCATTTACAGACACTCTGTGATGATAACTCTTCCAGAAGGGCTACTGGATTCATCCGCTACACCTGTCTTTTATCTGATTGCTTTTGGAAAGTACATCATTTTTAAATGCTAGGCTGTATTGTTATGTGCTTGTGACTTCTCTGTTCTACTAAACCTTTCCTGGTTAACTTTTAAAATCCTTATTTACCTAGATGAGGAGAAAAGGCGGCCTGATATTTTCCACGCGTTGAAAATGGGTAAGTGCTTTTGAAAATCTTTTTAGAGATTTATGAAGATAGGGACACATTCTCCCAATCTAGTATTTGTAGTCCTTTTTAAGGCCACCCAGAGTGTTTGCGAAAGAAAACGGGCATTTTGTTGTTTCCTGACTGTAGTTTCACACAGGGAGGGTTCAGCCCCTGGAAGCTGATAGTTATTATGGTGCTTATACACAGGTTCCAGACCATCCTCCCAGGCCCCCCACCCCTCTGGCCAAACCCTGTGGCTGTGCTCTGGCTTTTCCCTACTTCTGAGGTTCCTCACTGCCTACCTACTCTCTACTTTCTTTGTGATGAAGGGCTAGTTAGCCTAAGATCTCCTCTCCTGATATAGACCCCCACCTCTAGGATCCCCTCCCTGATTCTCAACCCCCACGCTGATCTGAGCTCCCTGTATGTGCATTGCCTTTCATGTTTCCTTCATCTGTTCTCTTAAGATCTCAATAACACTTCTCTCTTTCAGTAAAGCTGTTTGTGTGCGTCCCTCCAAGATTGGGGGATTTGAGAGTGGAGGCTACCTCCTTCTTATCTTTGTAGCCCATGTGACGCCCAGCAGCCCAGTGCAGGGGCAGGTAGAGCATATGTTTGTTAATAACCCACTGGATAAGTAATCCAGCAGTGCCAGGCCCACTGAGCACCAGGCTCCTGCTTCTGTTTGCAGGAAACTTCCAGCTGGTCAAAGAGATCGCAGACGAAGACCCTAACTATGTGAACTTGGTCAATGGGGATGGGGCAACCCCGCTGATGCTGGCGGCCGTCACGGGACAGCTGCCTCTGGTGCAGCTGCTGGTGGAGAGGCGCGCTGACATCGACAAGCAAGACAGCGTGCATGGCTGGACAGCCCTCATGCAGGCCACCTACCATGGGTCAGTGCCGACTCCACTCCTTCAGCGCGAGGCTAAGGGAATGCCCTGGTCTGAGCTAGGGTCCTTGGTGGGGTTTTCTGGTCCTGAGAAGCTGCAGATAAACTCTAAAGCTGTGAAGACCTGGAGGCACACACACAAAATTAAAGAAGTGCAGGGGCCTTCTGTTCTGCATCCCTACCTTCTGTGTCGTGATTCCTATTACCTCAGCACAGAATTCACCAGGGGCCATAAAAGCCATGCAGCAGGAACATTTTCTGCAGGAAGATGAGTTTCTGTGGGTTGATTTCAGTTGAACAGTTTGTTTGGAGTGTTCCCATTGATGTCCTTAAGTTACCCCTATTGGAAATGGAACATCAGCCATTCGTACCATTGGCTCCTGGGCAACCAGTGCTGAGACTTGTCCTGACCCCTCCTTTTGAATAGGCACCGGCATTGACTGGTGCTTCTGAGTCCCTTCTCAGTCTGTCCTCCTGGAGGCCACCCCTTTCGGATAGGTTGACCCAGGGGCTGGGAGCTGCAGACAGTCTTAACAGCCACTAAGTGGTCTGATTCCAAATTACAGGCCTTTTCCTTTTCCTTGCCCTGTTTTAGGTGATCACAGCAATTTCCTGTGTCATCCTGAAGCAGTTTTTCTTATTTGGTGAGCTTCGGACAACTGCATCAGACACCTCAGCCTCTGTGAGGCTTCTGCAGCGCAGGGGTCCCGATTTGGGGCAGCAGGAGTTGGGACCTGCGTGGTCATGGTGGCCATGTCGTTTTTCTTTTGCTTGTGGATGGAGCACATCAGCCTTGGTTTCCATCACATTCAGCGCTGACTCCCCACGGAGTAGGGACAGGGAGTGTGAGACAGTTTGCAGCCTTTCACATCCTTCTTTCAGGCTCAGAGATGGGTGCTAATATCGTCAGCTTCTTGCCCAGGAGCAAAACCAGGCTTTTGTTTTCAGTGCGTCTAACCTTGGCTTTTTCTTTCCTCCCTAGGAATAAGGAAGTTGTCAAATACCTGCTAAACCAAGGAGCTGATGTCACTCTTCGTGCAAAAAACGGGTACACGGCCTTTGACCTAGTGATGCTGCTGAGTGACCCTGGTGGGTTGTTTCAGGAAAAGGGTCGAAGACCCTCATGGCCTTTCTCTGGCGGGGAATCAGGATAATCACCTTTGTGTCTAGCCCTTGCTTACTCATGAGGGAGGTCACTCTCAAGCCCCGAGGGCTCACCACATGTCCTCAGGCGAGTTCCTTCCCTCCTCGGCAAAGACTGGGCTGGCACCAGGTAGTCTCCTAGGCTTCTCCAATGCCAGCCTTCCAGGAGTCTCCCAGGAGGGAAGGCCAGCGAGACACGAGTCTGCCTTGGCAGTCCATGCAAGTCCTGGAGTGGTATCTGTGCTTTGTGACCAGAAACCCTGCCCCAGGAAGAAACAGAAAGGCCCCTTTGACAAGCAGAATCAAAGATGGAGTAGTGACCTCCTCTGTTCAGTCGTGTAGGTGGAGGCTGCTGGGTCAAGGGCACCGTGCTGGGGGTGTCACCATCCCTCGTCCCACCTCTCTCGGGCCCTGCTGGCATCTGCTGCTCCCCTCGGACCCTCCCCCACTGTGACAGGCCCTCCTCTGGGACCTGACACATCCAATTAGGTGGCCCAAAGGTCAGAGTCTGTCTGTCTGTCCATCCTCTCTTCTGTTGCCCTGGAGTTTCAGCCCAGGGAAAGAGAGAGGCTAGTAGGCCCTTCTAACCCACAGGCTTTGACCCCTGAGCCAAATCCCAGCCTGCTGGCCGTGGGAGAGGACTTGACCTCCACAGACCCAAGTGGACATAGCCCTGCTGCCCCTCTCAGCTATGGGGTGCCCTGCCAGAGAGCCCTCCCTCTTCCCCAGCATTGCCCCCTCGCCCTGCCTGCTGCCGGCCCCGCATATCTCAGACGCACACTCGGCTCCATTTCATCCTCGCAGTGTGCGTGAGGGGAAGCAGAGCTGCGTATCCCCTTGTGGAGGGGAGGTGACTGAGGCCAGGGGAAATGGCTTATCCCCAGCCAGTGAGGTGAGGTCCTCCGGTCAAGTCCAGTGAGCTCATTCCACCTCGTTGGAGGCCCTCCTGACATGCGTAGATTTTATGTCGTTAAAACCCGTCTCCTGGATCGCGCACACTTTTCTCAGACAAACTCGTGTCTCACTGTGTCTCTTCTCCCTCTTCCCTTCCCGACCACTTCCCTCTCCCTTGCCCCATAAGAGTCTCTCCCTAGTCAATTTTTTTTTCCTAGTGGGTTTTTTAAATGAAGTTTTTGCCTGAATTTTTTTAAGAGACACGTGCTTATTATTGGACACTTGGAAAAGAAAAAAAAAACAGTCATCAAGAGAAAAGCAGTGTTAATAGTTTGTAATATTTTCTTCTCAACCGCTGTTGTTTTGGTAACCCAGTTAGTAACTGCAAATGATACCTAACCTTTCTTAAGCACTTCCCTTATGCCAGAAATTCCCTCGCATCCTTCAGACACCTTTATGCACCAGCATCCTGTCACCCCTTTTACAGAGACACAGAGAAGTTCCCTAATTTACCTGCCGTTGCACAGCCAGGGAGGGGCAGAAGCAGAATTTAACCCCCTGACGTCTGGCTGCAGAGCCTATACTTACTTTATTTATCTGTTTATTTATTTAAAATTTTTTTTCGTTATAAATGTTTATTTTTTATTTTTGAGAGAGACTGAGGGCAAGCGGGGGATGGGTAGAGAGTGAGGGAGACACAGAAGCTGAAACAGACTCCAGACTCTGAGCTGTCAGCACAGAGCCTGATGCAGATCTCAAACCCACAGACTGCGAGATCATGACCTGAGCCGAAGTTGGATGCTTTGACCGACTAAGCCACCCAGGTGCCCCAAGCTTGTACTTTTAAAACACACTTACCCCACTGTCTTTCTGTGGAGAGAGGGCTCCTGGTTCTTCCTTCTGGTCAAGTGGATTAAGCCCTGCTGGCCTGTTTGCCACCTTTCGAAGACCAGACGGTGAAGCCGGTGCCTTGATTCCGGAGTAACATAGACTCGAGCTGCAGGGCTGAGTTTTAAGGCTGACAGGGGTCTTGTTGAGCCCTCTCTCCTGGCCCAGCAGACGTATTTGCAGGTAAAGCGCTGCCTTTTGTGTCCATAGACACGGAACTTGTTCGACTGCTGGCATCTGTCTGCATGCAGGTGAATAAAGACAAAGGCCGGCCCAGCCACCCACCACCTCTGCCCCACTCGAAGGTCCGACAGCCTTGGAGTGTCCCAGTGCTGCCCGATGACAAAGGCGGGCTCAAGGTTTGCCTTTTCCTGTCCTAAAGGGCTTTAAAGAGAGCCAAGTTGACGGTGTGGGGGATGCCTGCCGCTTCCTGTTAATGCAGGGCTGGTTTAGGGTGAGGGTGACCAAGCAGGGACGGGAAACAAGCTGTGGGTGAGCAATAAGGAACAGTGGGGATCAGGGAAAACTGGTGTGATCCTATCACATGCAGTGACTACTTTGCAAGAATGTGGGTTCATCTTGTCAGATTGTCCCATTTTTTTCAGGAAATGCTAGGACGCTAGATATGGAGAGCCAATTTATAGATGTCGGGAACTGGAGAATTTTGCATGATGTAGTACTGGGCTGGCCGAACCAAATGCCTCTCCTCCAGGCTGTCTGTCTGCGGCCTCTGCTTCAGCATGTGGGATATTGCTGATTGCGCCATTCTGGGGTCTCCCTGCAGCCCACAGGCCTCCAGCTGGGGCTTTCTGGAAATACCAAAACAACCTCCAGCTGCTCATTTCTTTGAATTTCTCGTCCTCCCCATCCTGCTCTACTTGGTTGAAGTCACACTTACCTTTTCTCTATCCTGTCTGGGACTCTAGCACCTCCTCAAATCTGCAGACTCAGTTCCTGTTCTTAGCTCACTCACTAGAGCCCCGTGTTTTCCTCTCAGTGTTGTTTGTATAGGTCCCTTCAGCCCTGTGCTCGCTGCCATCTCCCTAACCCAGGCCCTCGCAGCCTCCCTTCCTGCTGTGTCGTAACCCCCAAGCGGTCACAGGGTTAGGGACACCCTGGGGGGCAGCATTGGTCCTCTCTGTAGGTGGAGAGGCATCAGCTGCCAGAACAGATGGCCCAGGCCTTGGTGTGGACAACACCTCTTACACTGTCACTGGAAAGGGGGGAAGAGCTTATGCAGTGACTGATGCTATGGTGTTTGACGTTGCCTCTTGTCCATCTGTCTGTCTCTGACTCACTGTGAAACTTTGAGCAATTGGCACCCCATCTGGATCTCCATTTCTCAATCTGTGCGATGCGGAGATTGACTAGATGAGGGGCAGCAGATAGGGTCCACTGTCAGAGGTCAGAGCCTCGAAGGGCTGAGTCAGAAAGGCTTTAGAGAGAACCATGGCGTTATGGGAAGGGTTGCTGTGGCTGATTGGTAATACCTGTCATAGGCCCAGGAGAGCAGAGGGGAAGTGTGTATAAAGTGTGTCACCGTCCTTGGCCTGGCTGTTCCTGGAGCATGACCTCTGCTCTGCGTTCCCTTGGCAGTCCTGGTGGAACCGAATGTCCAATCGGTTCCGGAAGCTCAAACTGATGCAGACCCTGCCCCGCAGGCTCTCCAGCAACCAGCCATTGCCTTTCTGTGATGAACCAGACTCAGCGCTGGACTCCACAATGAGGGCGGCCCCCCAGGACAAGACAAGCCGCTTGGGGCTTCATGATGTAGCCCCCACAGTGAAAGATAATGGTAAGAAAAAACTGCATGTGCTGTAAAATTTCCAGAACGGTCAAACCCAAATTCTCTGCCCTTTGTCCTACCTCTTGGGCTGATGTGAGAGGTGAGATGATACTGGAATGTGGCCCTGGAACAAAGTGGCTGGTCTGGGGAAGGAGAAATGGGCAGGGACACAAATGCGGTCAGCATGGTAGAACGGGGATGTTGGTGGCAAGGGTCCCTGGTTTCTGTCCCACACGCCCTGCTCAGGGCCTTGAGGCCAGAAACTGCCTCTCTCTTGCCTTTGATAGGTGATTTTCCCACATATCAAACATGATTGATCTCTGGCACTGGAAGCGTTTAGAAATAGAACGAGTTATCTGAGGGTAGGAAGTGAGCTTCCCAACGCTGGAGGTATTCAACAGATTGGATGACTTTGCCAGGGCACTGAAGGTGATTCCCACACTGATTGAACAGTTGATCAGATCACACCCCTTCAAACAGACTCCCCACACCCAGCCTTGCTCCTTTCACAGCACTGTTTGAGACAAGCTGTTGAGCTGGGTGCATCACTGTCTGACCCAGCACGCAGGGCTTTATGGAAAAGCTGAAAACACGCTTTGAGACACCTTTTAAATGCTTTCCGTCTATTCAAGTATTGGATACCAATTACTATTAAATATTTAATCACTCAGGAGAGTTGGTTTTCCAGGATGAAGGCTACCCTGGTCACTCATCCTCATGCCATGAACTTGTTGGGAGGGGTCATTTCAGGAAACTTCCATTTGTCTCTCAGGTCCCGGGAGCATGAGAGGAGACAAAGAAGATGTGTTATTGACAACCATGGTGAGTGTGGGGCTGTTCTAAAAGCATTTCAAGTCTCTACCAGTCATTAGTTGATTTACAAGGCTGGATGTGGACATGTGTCTCTCTTGGTGGTGGTCGCAGATGGGCTCGATAGCAAAATGTGTAACAGTGGGCACAGCTCTGGCGCTGAGGAATTGGAACAGATGCCAGTCTAAACTGTGGGTAAGGTGGTGCTGGTGCTTAGTGGCCAGATGTAAGCCCTGGTTGCGTTCACAGGGAGGCAGCGCTGAGGACAGGGCTTGTGAGTAGGAATTGATGGGTGACAGCGGAGTCACCGTTTTGGTTTTGGGGAGTCAGGAGGAGAGGAGTCACAGAGGAGGCTGTGTTTCCAGCCTGAGAGGCCTCAGTCTCCTCATCTATGAATTAGAGATGCATCAGGATTAGTAACAAAAGTCCTCAAATAACTGGCATGAATGAGACAGCAGTTTCTTTTTCTCAAGTGCAGTTCAGGACGAGTATGTTGACACATGGTGTCCTTCTACCTGTTGGTCTCCCAGGCTTGGCTTCTATTATGAGATGGCCACCAGAGCTGTGGCCATTACTGCCTCCTTCTAGCCAGCAAGAATGATGAGGGGAGGAAAAAGTGGCCAGGGGCACACCAGGTGTCTTTCAAGAAGTTTCCTGGGCACTCACACGTCACTTCTGCTTATATCATATTGGCCAGCATTTAGTCACATCACACTACGTGTGGGAGGCTGGGGGGCTGGGAAAGGAAGTCTCTGTTCCAGGTGGTTGTGTCCCGTCTAAATGCCAGGGGTGTCTACTAAGGAAGATGTGGAAGATGGATCCTGGGGGACATCTGGCAGTGTCTGACTTTAAGGGATGCTATCCTTCATGGCTGTTTCTTTGAATAAGGTTGTCCCCAGGAAGTGTTTAGCATAGTGCCTGGCCCAGAATGAGCTCCTGGTTACCTGCTGTATGATCTTGGACATGTGACTTCACCTCTCTGGGCTTCGCGTTCCTTTTCTTTAAATGAGGGTTGGGGTTGAACTCAAGTCCATTTAGCTCTAAGACCCTAATCTGGAGGCTGGCCAGGAGAGGGCAGTATTGGAGAGGAGAAGGGAGCCGAAGCATCCTCAGAAGGGGCTGAGCGGGCTGGGTCCTGACTGGGACCTGCTTTCTCAGCCCTGCCCCGCCCTGCCCTGCTCTGCAATGGGTGTAAATTGGTGTCTCTAGACCAGATTACTAAAGTGGGAGCTTATACTAACCTGATGTTTGATAATCTCATTAAATAGCAGTAATTACTTTTGTATGAAAACAGATCTATTCTTGAAATTTTGGAAGATGCAGTAAAATATAAAGAAGAAAAATAAAATCCCCCTTGATGACACACATAATCATGACTGACATTTTGGGGTAGATAAGTTTTGGGTATTTTTCTAACCATTTTTTAGCATTATGAATATATCACGTCCTACATGATAATGGCAAATTCCACAGCGCTTACTAAGTCCCAGCTGCTACTCAGAGCACTTTACATATATTCATTCATTTAGTCCCCCTGGCAGCCCTGTGAGGTGGGCACTGTTCTATTCCCCATACTATGCTGAGCCTGACTTATTAACAGTTTGTCTGACCATCTGTTCCATGTCATTAAACACTCTTAGCCACATCACATCTAATGGCTGCATGATGCAACATTCTGTCCTGGGAACGTGCCTCACACACCAGTGAAGGCTTACCTGTTGGACTTCGGGGTTTTTAGTTTTTTGTTGTTGTCACGGATCTAATGAATATCTTTATGCCTCAGTTTCTCCCACTTGCCTGTTTCCTTGGGCTAAATGTCTAGAAATAGAATCTCTGGGTCAAGGGTGCAAATGTCATTGCCTTCCGGAAAGTTTGCAACAATTTAGACTCTGTCCCCAAGGAATGAAAATGTCCATCTGTGGTGGGTTTGTGGCTGCGGGCATCCTTAGTCCTCTTCCAGTCCCAGCCCCCTTGCTGGATGAGGTTGCTGAGGTCCGGGGGGCACGGCACTGTTCACAGATTCTCAGAAAAGCTCAGGAAAGCCAGGGTGGGACCCAGGATGCCTACCCTCCTGCGTTGGCACTTCCCTGTCCCACCTCCTCATGCCCCGTGGAAGGCACCAGTACACTGGCCTACCCCTCGGCAGATGGAGGATGGCCAGGGAGCCCTGCCGAGTGGGCGTTTGCAGCCATCCTTGCGGAGATGCACGCCTGCCCGGCTCCCGAGGCAGGTTTAGCTGTGGGATGCCCTTCCCTGCAAAGCACCATCTGGCACCAAGTCCACTGTCTTTTCTTAATTAATGTTAGTGCGGACTGTGTGAATACTTTTCCTTGACAGTCCACCAGTCATCATTGTGTGGATTCTATGCTAACTCTAAATTACATTTTCAAAATACAAAATTACAGTTAAAAATGTCAGCAGTGGGAGGTGTGGCTGGACTAGGGAGAGTGCGGTGGGGTGGGGAAGAGTGTTTGCTGGGCTCACAGAGAGCCCAGCCTGGGCTTCCTGGTCCCCTGTGCCCTGTCCCTTCCTCCAGAGACCCCCAGCTCTGTACACACGTCCTGCTCCTCTGGTTGTCAGGCCTGCCTGAGTTCTTTTCCCTGGGCCTGCAGTGCCCTCTTCCCCATCCCCCCGGTGCCACCATCACAGCACACCCAGCATCCCTTGGCCTCGCTTCGGCTCCCCATCCCCTCTGTTTCCATTCTAGCTGCTGCAGTGGTCCCAAGGGAAGCTGGGGGTTGGAGCAGAGTAAATGGGGGTATTGCTTGGTTGCTGGTAGAGCAGAAGATACCACATGGTTTCTGGCCGGGTGTGGGGATGAGGGGGTAGATGATGGTGCCATTCTCTGAGAAGCAGGAGAAACCTGGAGTCTTTCTTGAAAGAGCTGGGAGCCTCCCCCCCCCGGGGGGGGGGGGCTTGTCTAACCCACAGCCTGTCTTTTTCAGCTTCGAAATGGAGCCCCCTTCCCCAGACTCCCGAGTGACAAGCTGAAGGCAGTCATCCCCCCTTTCTTACCCCCTTCCAGTTTTGAGCTGTGGAGCTCGGACCGGTCCCGGACATGTCACGGTGGGAAGGCAGAACCCATGAAGACTGTGCTGCCCCAGAGAGCTGGCCGGGGTGCCCCCGTGGGCATGGGCGGTGGGAGCACAGATGCTGTAAGTCTTCCACTGGATGTACTTTGACACATCACTCACAATGAAGTTGGGGTGTGTTGCAGGCAGAAGGGACCTCAGACCCGCTTATCCAGCAGGTTTCAGGCTTTTTTTTTTTTTAATGAGGGATATCCTTTTGTTTCAGTGTATCCTACAAAGGGACACTTTATTAACAGATTAAAACGTGGGGTGAAGGGAATGAAAGCGAGGGCCCCTCTTCTCTGTCTTTTCTCTGGGGCCCCCAGGAGCACAGGCTGAAGACCTGATCTCATCTAAGCTTCCCTATAGTAGATGGGAGACTGGGACTCAGAGAGGGGAACCAGCCTGCTGCAGAGCACCCGGCCATGTGGCATGGGCCTGGGACCAGGAGTCAAGTTTTTGGTTTCTAACCACCTTCCACATTACATCATCGTTCAGGTCCATAACCAAGACTATGTGCACTACTGGTGTTTTCTTACACCCACAAGGAGTGTGACTTCTAGCCTTTTGCCTACAGTGGCTTCTGACTTGTGGCCCTTGCTGTGTCTCTGTAATGTTCTGAGGTTGTCCCTCTTGATGAGGGAACTTATCTCCATCTGTGTAGGCTGCCCACACCATAGATGCAGCAAATGGCAAACCGCAGGTGAGGACTTAGGACCTCGCCCTGCCACTGTGTGCCGAGTGATTAGAAGGACCCAGAACCCCCATCTCTCTCTGTAAAGATGGGGCTGACCCCCTTTGCTGCTGCCTCGTCTCAGTATCAAGTCTCCAGTGGGAGAGAGCCTGGCCCTGGAGGTGCCTCAAGTGGGCAGGGCTGGTTTGCATTTAGTCTGCACTGTGGGAAGAGTTGAGTGATCCTGAAAGTGGGGTGATTCAGGGGGAACAGCGTCAGCAGATGAGGATGAACTCCCCTTCCCTAGGGGACTCCCCTCAGGCTGAGCACCAGTTGGTGAGGGCCACATGGGCTGGGGTGAGCCAGTGGAATCCGGATCCCTTCTCCTGTGGTCATGTACGTCCAGAGGAGGCAACAACAAACCGTAACCAGGACACCCACTCTATTGCAGACTCCTGTCAGGCCGGTTAAATTTCCATCTCTCTCCAGAAGCCCCACCTCTCCTGCCAATTCCGGAAACTTCAACCACTCACCTCATTCCTCAGGCGGCTCCAGTGGGGTCGGGGGCTCCAGCAGGCATGGTGGGGAGCTGCATAACCGCTCAGGTGGGTACCAGGGGGGGCACTCCGGGGAGGCGGGAAGACCCCTTGGGGGTCTGTCCCCCCACCTCGCTTCGCCCCTGCGCTTGCTCAGTGGACAGTCCCAGAAACAACGGCACACACCCTGTCCCCTTCCTTGGTGTGGCTAAGGGACTTTTCAGTGAATTCACGGTTTTGCCCCCAGAGTGGCACTGTTCAAACATGTGAAATGTTCACAGCAGTATGTGGCAGCTGGTTATTGCCTCACAAATGTTAGTTATTGGTGTTTTCCCGCTCGGATCCTCTCTAGCTCTCTAGAATTATTTCTTTCACAATAATTCGAGATTGCTGGTGGATTTGGGGAAACTGGGAGAGGGAACACGGCAGTCCACTCTGAGTGCTGTGGACTGAGCAAGTTATTGGCACAGCTGTGGAGTGGGGTCGGTAAAGCTCCAGAAGGGGGGTCAGAGGGCAAGCACCAGCCCCTGTGTGGCTGCTGGAAGGGGCGGTGCTGGGGCTGCCGCGGGCGGGGCGTCTGTGCCTTCCGGAGGCCGCACAAGCTGGCTCTGGCAGGGGAAAGTGAGGACAAGCTGATCGTGCCTGCACTGCCTCTTCCAGTACCTCTCGCCATGGTGCCTTTGGCGTGTGATGACCTCCGCACCTGGCCACCTCTGGTTTCCACGCGCAGGCCTCTTGTGGTCAGCCCTGACCCACAGCTGCAGAGGCTCAGGGGAGTCTGGGGAATGCTTCTCCAGCTCAGCAAGGTCAGCACACGAAGTCCACTATAGTCATGTTGCTGGACCCTGGACCCCTGAGGCAGTCATGTCTATTCCTCTTTCCTCAGGTGGCAGCATAGACAGTGTCCTGTCACAAATTGCTGCCCAGAGGAAAAAGGCAGCCGGATTATCTGAGCAGAAGGCCAGCCACCGGTCAAGTCCTGTTGGGCCAGCGCCAGGGTCCGGCTCATCTGAGCTCCCAGTCTCTCCTGCAGGCAGCGGCGGTCCCAGTGGCAAGGTGCTTGTTCTGTTTCTGTCTCCTGTTACACTCACACGTTCTGTCCTGATGTGGCCCACGTGCTGGGGAGCACAGGCACTGCCACAGTAGTGGGACGGCACTAAAGAGAGGCCCCTTCCAGCTGCTCGCTCCCAGGCTTTCTGAGAGGCTGAATTGTGCAGTTGCCGGGATCACACCCTGTGCCCTCGGCCCCCTACACGCATGGGTCTACCTCCCCCCTGACCTGCAGGGCACCTCCAGGTGCCTCGTTCAGCCTCGAGTTGTTCATTGCTTAGAGCAAAGAGGTGTGAAGTGTGGGAACAGGAGCAGACTACCTGGGATCGGGTCTCAGCCCCACACTTCAGCCTTTCGAGTAGGGCCTGGCACCTGGCGAGCCTGTAAGTGTCAGCTCTAAGTGCTGACGTTATCAGCAGTAGTATCTGTGGTCCTACCTTATTCATTCACTGTGCACATCTTTGAGGTGTCTGCTTTGTGCTCAGCACTGCTAGCAGTAAGGATCCAGCGGTGAACCGGTGGTTTGGTGACCCTCTCGGGGTGTCACTGCGGACTTAGTTTCACTCAGTGTGGTAAGAGCTGTCGTGGAGAAGGGAGGATGTTGTGGTGGCACAGATGGGGGCTGCTACCCAAGCTTGAGGGCATCAGGGAACCCTAAATTGGGATCTGAAGGATGAGGAGCTGATGAAAGGGGCAGGGCTGGGGCAGGGTGTGACACCGTTCCACTGTCAGGGGGTAGCATTTGTGGCATTCCAGAGGGGAGGAGCTGCAGTCCTGCTGGTAGACAGGACAGAGTTGGAGTCTCACGTCACTGCCTGGCACCTTTCCTCCACTCATGCAGCCCAAGAGCAGTCACCACATTGTCAGTATCTATATGGAGTTTGCAAGGGACAGGAAACCCTCAATGCTTCTCTGTAGTGAGAAGTCTTTTAGTGTCTATAGAGTCTGACCCTTCTAGCTTTTGAGCCCCTCCACCTGGACTGATTGCTGGAATGACCCCCCCCGACCCCCACCAAGTGTGGGTTCCTGACAGTATAAATTGGCTCCTCCTCAAGGTGCCCCTCTCCCTTGGTGCAGTGTAGCCCATTTCCTCCTCTGAGAGGACCCCATGGCCAAGCACTGTCCCATTCTTCATATTTTTTAGATGGCTTGAGCTTTTTCCCGGAGAAAAGTTAGGTCACCTGAAAGCCTCACCCCTGGGCCCTTGCCCAGATGTGCCTCCAGAGACTGCTTTTTTAACGGATGTATAAGCAATAGTCTTTATTTTCTGCCCACCACTGTTGGTTACAGAACTTTTTGTTTTTCAAAGTCCCTTTTGCAATCAGACATACAGAATTAGGTTCCTTTGCTTCAGAAAAAGTTTCTCTCCCTATGCATTAGCATATTTTCCATTATATTGAAAATTACTTGTGTAATAGGACCTGTGTAATTAAGTTCCTTTTAGAATTCAGCTCTAGAAAAAAAAATGTCTCTACCAATACTTTCGTACATTTTCTTTCTTCATATAGTAAGGATTATATAATTATTGTATTTCTCTTTTTGCCTTTGCTGCTAGGAAACTCAGAGCTACTAATTAAAGTAAGTCTTCTGGTGTGAGCTTTGATATCGTTTTCCTCTTCTCTTTTGTTTAAATTTTTCTGTTTCTATTTTGATGATCTTACTAGATGTGTTGGATATTATTAGCTTTCCTTAACTGGTGTTAAAAATAGGTAGGTGTCTAAGTTATAAATTATATCAACCATTGTCTCCCTTGAATGCATTTATTATATATAATCTATGTTTAGGTATATTCCAATGAAAGGAGATTGTGTCCAAAGATACACTCAGGAAACAAACCGAGGAAACAATCCAGGTCAATGACACCTGATATTCTTAACAATATGCTGTAACCTTGGGGCGCTGCCTAAAAATTCAGGTCTCTGGGTGCCACCCAGGATAACTGTATGAGACTCTTCAAGATGGGATCTGAGAACTCTGATTTTCCCCCGAGAGAGTATTGTAATCAGCCCAGCCCAGGGCTCTTAGAAACCACTGCCCTAAATCAAAGGGCACAAGGGGTGGGCTTTCTGTCAAAGGCTCCAGCAGCAAAATGAAGACATGAAGTGTTTTTCAAAGACTCCCTTAGGAAGAATTAGAAATTAGCATTCAAAATAGGAGCCTACTGAATCTGGTTTTCATACTTTGCTTAAAATAAGCACCACCGTAATGGTAGCATATTCACAAGGCATGGCTTCTAGCATGTTCACGAATCAGCCTGAAGCGAACCTGAGGAGGCACAGAATCAGGGGAGTCAGAATGTGTGTCGGTGCTTCCCAGACCTGTGGAAGCTCAGAGTCCCACTGAATACATCAGCTCTCTCTTCTCACCCTAAAGCTTAGTGGTTTAAAACAGAAAAGCGTTTCTTTAGCTCCTGAACCTGTGGGTTGGCGGTTTAGTCTGAATTTAGCTCGGTAGTCCTTGTGGTCTGGAGGGATCACTTACACATTTGGCTGTTGGCTGGAGTGACCAGGATGACTGGGCCATGCATGTCCACAACAAGCTTAGATGTGTCCTCATGGCAAGAACCAAAGGCATGAGTTGAAAACCAGTCAGGTTGTTGAAGCAAATCAGCACACCCACTGCAGAAGAACACACAAACACACGTTGCAAAGGGTATGGATTGAGGGAGGGGTGGAGATGACACCATTAACAAGATCCGCTATGCGGGGAACATAGGGAACAGTTCAGATATTTTATTAGAGCATCCCAGATAATCATATTTATCTGCCCCTCCCCAATAATGCTCCTACAAGGTCCAGAGTATCATGTTTGTTTGCTTCGGCTATGATAGATCTGTTTAGTATGGATATACTAATTATTTCCTGCCTAATCAGAAGCTTTGTTATTGAATGTCTTTGTTTATAAAAAAGCAGAAGGAAGAATTTATCAACAATATAGGCAGCTAATTGACAGTCTTTCAAAATCGAAGAGAGACATCTTGTTCCACTCTGGGATGTAGTTAGGAAGAGCATGAAGGCTTAGCAGAAGGAGAGGTGTACCCACTTCCAGGCATTAAAACTATTTATCTTAGTCTCTGCTATCCTAGTCAAAATGTTCAATTTTACCAAAAAATTATAAGACCTACAAAAAGACACAAAACAACTGCACACCCAAGAAACAAAGCTGTCCTCAGAATTTGATTTAGATACGACACAGGTGTTGGAATTACATGACCATGAATTTGAAAGAACTACAATTAATTGTTAGAGGCTCTAATGGAAAATTTGAATGTGCAAGATCATATAAGTAACTATTTCAGCAATAGAAACCCTAAGAAAGAAGGAAAATTCTAGAAATACAAAACTTGTAACAGAGATAAGGAATGTCTTTGATGGGCTCCTCAGTACCCTTGACACAGCCAAGGAAAGAATCCGTGAAGTTGAAGACTGGGTAATAGGAATCACCCAAACTGAAACACAAAGGAAAAAAGAAGTTAAAACAAAAATAGGAACAACAAAAACAGTAGAATTATATCCAGTGTTCTTACATACAGGTAATAAGAAGCTCTGAAGAGCAAGAGAATGGTAGGACAGAAGGAATATCTTAATGCCTGAAAATTTCCCCAAATTGATGATAGATTTCAAAGCACAGATCTAGGAAGTTCAGGAAATTCTCACTATAGAATAAATCCGGAACTCTCACTATAGAATAAATATAAAAAGAATACACCTAGCCATATCCTATTTAAACTACCAAATAACTCTCAAAACTCATTAAAAAGCAAATTTAAAAAATAGGCAAAATATCTGATACTTCCTCAAAAATATACAAATGGTAAAGAAACATGAAAAAACATTGAACATTAACTACTGGGGAAAATGCAAATTAAAACCACAGTGAGATAGCACTAAATACCTGTTAGACTGGCTAAAACTTAAAAACTTTAAAGAAACAAGTGCTGATGAGCATATGGAGCTCCTAGAACTTCAGTGCTCAGGGCAACGTGATAACAGTACCGCCATCTTGAAAAGGTTGGGCAGTGTTTGATAAAACTATATACTTACCCTATGAACTGGCTATCTCCCTCCTAGGTCTTTACCCAAGTGTATTTAAAAAAAAATTTTTTTTTTTAACGTTTATTTATTTTTTTGGGACAGAGAGAGACAGAGCATGAACGGGGGAGGGGCAGAGAGAGAGGGAGACACAGAATCAGAAACAGGCTCCAGGCTCTGAGCCATCAGCCCAGAGCCCGATGCGGGGCTCAAACTCACGGACCGCGAGATCGTGACCTGGCTGAAGTCGGACGCTTAACCGACTGCGCCACCCAGGCACCCCCCCAAGTGTATTTTTAAAAAGTATTCATGCCACAATCTGTCTGTGAATGTGTACGGCAGTTTAATCCATAATCACGCCAAACTGGAACCATCACATCAACAGGTGAACGGGTAAACTAACTGTGGTACATCCACGCAGTGGGACACTGCTCAGCAGTGGAAAGGAGCACACTGTCAATACATGCAGTAACTTGAAGCAGTTTGCTGCACCAGACCCAAAAGTCTACCCAAAAGTCTACATGTTGTGTCATTCCATCTATGTGACATTTTAGAAAAGACAAAAACATAGGGATAGAAAACAGATTAGTTATTTTCATGGGTTGGGATGAGGGAGAGATCGAATACAAAAGGACAGGACGCGGGAATTGGCTAATGGAGCTCTTCTCTATGATACCCCCACCTCTGTATTTGTCAAAACCTGTTGAATCATACACAACAGTTATTTCTGCTGTATGCAAATTAAAAGAACAAACAAACAGTATTGGCCAGGAACCAAAGAGGGAATGCAGACTACAATGACATATCTAACTATATTACAAATGACTGACATAATCACACGTTGGGAGATGGGGGGAGAAAACTAGGTCAAGGGGATATGGTGAGGCCTAAGTAAAAGACATAACCATACCCAAACACTGTATCCTCGTTGATCGTTTGTTGTTGTTGTTCTTATAGGGATGTGGGTTTAATTCCGAAACCACTTTATTTATACATTTTGTATACATGTACACTTTACACATATACTAGGGTTGAGCAAATAAGTAATTATAATGAGCCCAGTTTTTAACTGTTAGAGATTGAACCAAAGGGGAAATATTAGAACAAACCCCATGGATATTGGATTGTTGTCAGAGGAATCGGTACGAATGCGTGGTTGTAAATGTGTGTGTGTGTGCGTGTGTGTACACACAGATTTATATGGAAGTAAGCCAGGCTATGTGGATGCATGGCTTAGTATACTTTCCTGTCTGTCCACTGAGAGAACATAGAATCAGTGATATCCCAGTAGCCACGAACAGCCTAGTACCCAGATTTTGGTTCCTAAACACCATGCTCCAATAAAAGGGACCAGAGCCTTGGAGAAGTGGTTTATTCCAGTACTGGGTCCATGGAGATGCAAGATGAGCCTGAAGCATTTTGTGGTGTCAGAAAGTAAGGAGATGCTCTTAAAAAGAAACAACAACAACAAAAAGATGGACATGGGGAAAGAACATAGGAGCCAACCTGAAAGATCTCAGTGCCCCAAACTGGAATAGTTTGAACAACTGTAAAATAAATCGCAGTAGTGATTAGATTATAAAAGAAACGTCCACGAGCCCATACTGCTAGGAATAAATAACTGAATAAATGGGGGAAGTAGTATCTCTTCCATCCAGAATTCCAGAAAATAAATGTGACAGGAATAGGGGAAATAGATCTCCTATCACTAGAACATCACAGTAGTAATTGCTATAGACAAGATCAACCAAAGAATGCCAAAATTAGTGGGAGCAACAAGATATTTAGCTCAAAATATCTCCTCCCCACCCCAAATATTTGTTAATTATAAAGAGAAGTGGTATCACTTCACAATGGAGAAACCCGACACACACCACCTCAACTAAGTGATCAAGGTTAACGTTATCAATAATAAGAAATGGATGCTGTGTGACCCCGGGCATGATGTGGTAGGAATGGCTCATTACCTCTGGGGTCATTAATCCAAAACTCCATAAACAGATCTAATTATGAGAAAATATAAGACAAACCCAAACTGAGGGATGCTTTGCAAACACCTCAATTCTTCCACAGTGTCAAGGTCATGAAAGAAGGAAAGACTGAGTTGTCACAGAGGAGGTCAAAGAGACATGGCAAGTCTATGCAGTGTGGAATCCTGGACCGGAACAAGGACATTAAGTGGAATAACCAGTGAAACCTGAGTAAAGTCCATAGCTTACCTAATAGTACTGTGCCACTGTTAACTTCTTAATTTTGATGATTGTGCTATGGTTATGTAAGATATTAACGTCAGGGGAAGCTGGCTGACGGATACACAGGAATGCTCTGTTCTATCTTTGCAGCTCTTCTATAAGTCTAAAAGTATTTAAAAATAAAAAGGCGCTCTTTTTTTTTTTAACTAAATGACACACACACAAAGGGGAAAAATGATGTGTTCTTTGGTGAGAAGTTGGAAATGACTGGTTTAGATGAAGGAATGTCAGGAGCAGAAAGGGACCTCATGCATTTGTAAGCCACACTTCCATTTAGAGCTGCATTAACTGAGAGGTAAGGGGACTTGGCCAAGGACACAGTGCTGGTAGCTCTACGGGCAGGATTAGTACCTGACTTCCTGGCTCCTCAAGTGCCACTTTTTCCATCCTACCCCCTGCCTCTGTGCTCCAGGGCAGGATTTTCCTGTCCCTGTTCCAATAATACTGTTTCTGCTTTGCATGTTTTTTTTTTTTTTTTTTTTTTTTTTTTTTTTTTTTTTTTTTAAGTAGATTTCATAGTCCTGCTTAGATATCTTGCTGAGTCAGCTATCACCCGTGTTCCCTGTCGGGTGTCTGTTTTAATCACTTCTACCCTCCAGGTGATGGCTTACGTATTTGTCTTACTCTTTTCAGCAGAAACTGGAGACGAGCAAACGGCCTTTGTCTGGAACTTCCACTACCTCCAAAAGCACCTCCCCCACACTCACGCCCTCCCCTTCGCCCAAAGGGCACGCGGCCGAGTCCTCTGTGTCCTCCTCGCCCCATCGGCAGTCCAAGAGCAGTGGGGGCTCCAGCAGCGGCACCATCACAGATGAAGGTGAGCCCCCCAAGGTCCCAAAACGCCAGCCTTTCCTCTTTGCCTCTGTGACCTGGCAGGTACTGTCATTGCTATGGCCATCCTAGGTCCTAGGTCATTTTTAAAATTTCAAACAAAAACACCTGTCTCCATTCTTCCCCGATTCTACCTTGTATTTTTGTCTTCACTTTGCTAATCGTCCGGTAAGCTCCCTCAAAATGTTTTTGAACTTAGTAGAGTTTCGTTTACGTACACAGACATACACTTGTAGAAATGCTTCTCCAACACCAGTGATGTACCTTTCCCTGAGCCTTGTACAGATCAGAATTCTGTCATTTGCAAGTAATGCAATCTCCACTGACACTGCTTTGAGCAAAAGCAAAAAACATAATTTGTTGGCTCATATAATGAAAGTGTCCAGGGTGTGCTTCAGGCGTGTGTGGATCCAGGTACTTTGGGAGTGTTTCCATATCTCAGGTAGGCTGTCTCTAGGCGGTGGCAAAGTTGTCCCCCATGAACTTCAGGCTTGCTTACTTCTCCTGCTAACTTAGCAACGCCAGCAGAAAGAGTGCTTCTTTCTTAGTAGGTCCAGCAAAATCCTGGGGTAAACGTCATTGGCCTGCCTCGTCTCTATTTATAATGACGGGACATTTGTGTATCCTTGACTGTGCATCTGTGGCAGTGGAACGTGCTGATTGACTGGGCGCAGGTCACATGTCTGCCTTTGTAGCTGGGCTCAGGGTCTGCCCTGCTGACACTTTGTAGATTGGGAGCAGGAGAGAGGGGACTCCTCAAAGGGAAATCAAAGTGCTGTTTCCAGAAGGAGGAGGGGAGGGATGGTGGGCAAGCAGAAACAGTAGCTGTCCTCTGTAACCAGGAGAACTTTAGAACCTGTGTGGGTGAAGTGCAGGTCCCTCCCGTGGGGAAGATGCAGAAAGGAAGATGGAGTGGAGGAGTGCTGGGAGGCCCCAGATAAAGATAGGAAGATATAAAAGACAAAAGGAGATGAAGAATCCTGTCCCTTGAACTGCCCTCTGGTGGTCCTGGCAGTGAGGGGGCGGGGGGAGAGGGGGAGCAGAGTTATGGGGAGAGATGGGACCCAGGCAGGTGCAAGCCAAGTAGTAGTGTTCAGAGAGGAGAGAAATGTCAGGTGTGCCAGGGCCTCCCAGACACAGCTGCAAGTGTCTCCCCGCAGCTGCCTGGAGGAAGGTGCCCAGCAGGTGATAAGTGCCCAGCAGGTGATAGGTTGAAATCAGCCTCACAGGCTGTGGTCTGGACTGAGTTGGTAAATGCATGCTGCCATTGGCATCCTCTTTATTTGGGGGCTGCTTTTATTGTTTTGTGATATCTAGTGCAACCATGTATAAAAGCTTCAGAGATTCACTAGCAACCCTGTTCCTCCCTAACCGTGTTTTCTACGTGCAGTCATGAATTCTCCCACCTTGGAGGCTTCCAGGAATCCAACTCTTAGAAGTTCAGTTAGGTATTTGTACCCCCCCACTTTTTCCAAAAAAGAGTTGAGACCGTGGCAGTCTATATGCACTGTCCATGCCCACTCTTTTCCCTCTCTCTCATTATTTAAAAAGGTTTGCAAGTGGCGCCTGGGTGGCGCAGTCGGTTAAGGGTCCGACTTCAACCAGGTCACGATCTCGCGGTCTGTGAGTTCGAGCCCCGCGTCAGGCTCTGGGCTGATGGCTCAGAGCCTGGAGCCTGTTTCCGATTCTGTGTCTCCCTCTCTCTCTGCCCCTCCCCCGTTCATGCTCTGTCTCTCTCTGTCCCAAAAATAAATAAACGTTGAAAAAATAAATAAATAAATAAATAAATAAATAAATAAATAAATAAATAAATTAAAAAAAAGGTTTGCAAGCCCTGGTTGGGATAAAAACAGAAGAGGACCTGACCGCAATTTCTTTTTAATTTCTCTGGTGTAGACAGCCTAGTTTTCCCCTACAGAGTTCCTGGGTCTGGAGGCAGCAAGACCTTTGTCCCGTGGGCATGAGACTATCAAAGGACAGACCTGCAGTCCATCCCCAGACAGCTACTTTTTATGACATTCTTCTGGGAAACACTTGGCCCCAGTCGAGGACCACACGCAAGCCTTTGCCCTGCCCCGTTTTTCCTCCTGCAGCCCCTCCAGCCCCCTCTATGGGGAGTGGTGAAGCCTGTGTCCCGGGTGCCTTAATCTGTGCTGGGTTAGCTCACAGTCAGGCTGGGGATTCAGCTGCATTCAGCACAATACATTTAAGTAAATAAATGGGGTCAAATCTGTGTTACAAGCCAGGCATGGAGTGCCATGGCACAGGCTTCACTGAAGAGCAGGCACTCAGGCCGAGCCGGTGGGCCAGAGTCCATCGTTGAATCTGCAGGAGATGTATAAACCAGTGATGAAACACAGCCATTATGAGTCAAATTACAACAACAACAACAACAAATACATAAAGAAGCCAAAGAAAGAAAGAAAAAGTCAAATTATATGAACTTACATAATTAAATTATGTTAAATATAAAGGTATGGGGTACTTAAAACAAAATGTTGTTATTAATTTATTAGTACATTTTGCTAATACTTGTGCTGTTTATGCCGTAGGAATACTATGTCATGATGTGCTACCACACACGTCCCTTCTCCGTTCCACTTTCAGGAACATTAGTTGTGTTGTTAGCCTAAAATCAGTCAGGAGCAGGGTATTGACTCCGTGACATCAGCAAATGCCACCAATCAGAGGTCGGTTTACTATCTCATAGACCATCTAGATGTAATCTGGACAGTGATGGAGAAAATGCCCATATTGCAGACGAAGGTTAAAAGTGTGTCTGTCATATTGTGACTAGCACAAAAAAATTGCAACAGTGTTCTTCCAGGATTTTAAAACCATTATCTCATTCAGCAGAGTTGCTCACATGAAATTCCAATATGCATCTTCATTGTTTCATTTCCTCTTACTTGTTCCCATCCGCGGAACTCCCCAGCGGCATCCCTGTTGGAACTATACTCATTGGCTGTGGACTCAAGAGGAAGGGAAAAATCAGTGAAAGCGTTCAGTGAGGTGCCTCAAGTGCAACGCAAGCATTGGCTGCATGGGATCTATAAGAAACAGTATTGTGTAGTTTATTATTATACGTAAATTGTGTGCTATACATCCTTTATATCAGTAAAATCTACAGTAAGCTTACGTACCTACCTCCCTACGTACGTTTTCCTTCAGAGAGCCGGTTGCTAACCATTTCCCGGCCCTCCACTACGGAGGAAGACTGCGTGTGGTGGGAACAGCCCGAGCGAAGGTTTGGTGCCACGGAGCAACAGTGGGTTCAGTGTGGCCTGGGACTCGATTCATCTCGTACAGCCTAGCGCAGTAGTACTCTTCCGTGAAGCCTTTTCTGGTCCTTCAAGTGGGTCAGCTGTCCTCTCTGTCCCCAGACCCCCTTGTCGATGCCCCTCATCACAGCGCTTGTCACCAAGGAGAGAGATGGCAGTGTGTAGCTTCAGGCCTGGTAGCTGGACCACTGGTGTGAATTCCTGCTCTGCCGTGGACTGACGGCATGATCTCAAGATACGGCAGCCACGCTTTTCTGCCTTGCTTCCTCATCTGTAAATGGAGACACTGATAGGATCGTTACGGTCATTGTAAAGAGCAAATGGGTTACCTATGTACAAGGTGACTGATGGTGCAACAGCTGTCACCCTCATCATTTTATCTTCCCAGCCACGCTGAGCTCCTTTACAGCTTGGACCTTTCCATCCTTGTACTCCCGGCATGTAGTAGGCGTGTTGGTATCCACTCTTGAATGAACGAATTAAAAAAGGAACTCGGGCGCCTGGGTGGCTCAGTCGGTTGAGCGTCCGACTTCGGCTCAGGTCATGATCTCGTGGTTTGTGGGTTCGAGCCCCGCATTGGGCTCTGCGCTGACAGCTCGGAGCCTGGAGCCTGCTTCGGATTCTGTGTCTCCCTCTCTCTCTGCCCCCTCCCCCACTTGTGCTCTGTCTCTCTATCAAAAACAAATGTTACAAAAAAAAAAGGAACTCAGACCTCCTAATCTCCAGTCCCTCTTCTGTGAATTGCACCCACTGCCCCAAGACCTTTGTATTTGCTGTTCCTTCTGCCTGAATACTGCCTCGTGATCTTTCCCTTGGTATTACACAGTTCACTCCATTTACTGCTCAAATGTTACCTTATATAAAGGAGACCTTCCCTTACCACTCTCTATAATAAATAATGTTCTCCCATTCCCTGTCATCTTCCCCTGCCCCCTTCCATCCTTCCTCAGTGCCTTTGGCCTGGCAGCCTGCTTATCTGTTTTGGTCTTTATTGAGTCCCTAATGTCTGGACTGGTAAATCCCTGTTGAATGTGTGAATGAATATTTTTTCAAACTATCCCCCACCCCCACCCAGATGCTAGTCTTGTCTCCTTTCTTCACCCTCCCTGCTCTGAAATCATGATATCCCAAATCTTCTGTTTTCTCCTGCTCTGTGCCCCTCTGGCTCTGCTGTTCCACTCAGATGTGTCTGTCCTTCCTTCAGGAAGCCCACAGCCTCTTCACACTGAGCCAAACTCCAGTTCTGGTCTGAAGCCACCTGCTTGTTCTCTTAAGTTTGTTCTCCGCCTCGCTGACAACTTGCTGGCATTAGCATTTGCTGCAGGTGCAGCTACCAGCAGTCAAGAAATCATAATTAAAAACCATTCTTGGACAGAAAGTGGAGTTTTAGTCCTAGCAGCTAGAACTCTGAGAACTTGGGGGTTGCAACCATTGGAGGGTCAGCCTGGGCACACACACCCCCATGTTTGGAGTCTGGGGAGATGCCAAGGGCCTGCCCTAAGGGGAAGTATGGCTCGGACCCACCCCCTGCCGCATTCACACGAGTGCAGCTTAGATCTGCTTTCTGTGTTAGAGTTTCTTGTGACATTTCATTTGAAATAGGATTGCCACTGTTTTATGAAAGTTTGAAGACCACTGTTCTGACGCCTTTTGCCAAATTCTAAAATATCTTTTCACATCTTTCCCTCTTGAAGATGAACTGACTGGAATCCTTAAGAAATTATCACTTGAGAAGTATCAGCCCATTTTTGAGGAGCAAGAGGTAAGGAAGTTATTTTTGAATGTCCATCTAAATCTTACCATAAAGGAAAATGGTCTCACACGTGTGGGTGTTCATCCTGCAAGCCTAATTGATCTCTCTCCCTGAGACGGCAGGCGGAATTTGTGTTCAGCACACTTAGTGCAGTTCACCACAGTGAGATCCCGGGACCTTATGGCTTGTTCTGTTGGAACAGAATTTTGTGGTCTCGAGCACCGCTCTCGCTAGTGAAGTTCGTGTCTGTCCTGCACACGCTTCTGTCGAAGGTGATTGACCGGCTTTCAGGTTTAAAGAGGGTCATAAGCAAATCCTAATGAATCTATGCTAAGTGTCTGCACGTAGGCTCTGTGTTAATCTGAGTGCTTAAAAGCACTCACAATCACATTTTTTTTACAAAAAAAAAATACTGTTCTGCAGTTTGGCCGTTTCTCAAAATGTTAAACATAGAATTACCATGTGACCCAGCAATCCCACTCCTGGGTATATGCCCAAGAGAACTGAAAACATATGTCCACACAAAGACTCGCACACGAATGCTCACAGCCACGGTATTCCTCATAGCCACCAAGTGGCAAACAACTCAGATGTCCATCAGCTGGTGAACGGCCAGATTTGTTAGTGCTATACAATGGAATATAATTCGGCCATAAAAAGGAAGGAGGCACTGACACGCTACAAAATGAAGGAACCTTGAACACATGATGCCGAGGAGAAGCCAGTCACAAAAGGCCACATATGGTATGATTCCATTTATAAGAAGTGTCCAGAATAGGCAACTCTGTAGAGACAGAGAGTAATTAGTGGTTGCCAGGGAGTGGGGGGAGCACAGAACGGGGTGGGGGGGAGTGACTGCTTATCTGGGGGTGGGTTTCTCTTTGCAGGTGATGAAAATGTTCTAAAATTGAGTGTGGGGATGGTTGCACAGCTCTGAATATATTAAAAATCATTGGATCATACACTTCATTTTCTTAATTAAAAAATTTTGTGATTTGCACATAGTTGACACCCAATGTTACATTAGTTCTAGGTGTACAACGTAGTGTTTGACAAGTTTATATTTTATGCTGTGTTCACCACCAGGGTAGCTACCATCTGTCCCATCACGTCGCTAGTACAGTAGCATTGACTATATTTCCTATGGGTTGTATACTTTAAATGGGTGGATTGTACAATAAGTGAATTATATCTCAATAAGTTGTTTAAAAAAAAAAACTTCTGTTTTGGCCAAATAAAACTCCTCTGCAGGCCCACTAGCCACCAGGGTATCACCATTGGTTTAGAATATTCTGCCTGGTTTAGTACATGACAGCTGTCATAATTACAGTAGCAATCAAAACAACCACTCAGCGTCCCTGACAGGCTTGTGATGCTATTGAGGAGTTTGTACTTGGTTTTAAGAAGCAGACAGAGTGCAGTGGCTTCCTTCCTCCATGTGCTTTTCTGCCACATCCAGTGTGTCCTCCCTGCGACTTTGGCATTTTAAACTTCAGTAGTGACTTTTTCTCATCGCCAAGAAGTCTTTCCTGTGTGCTGATGGCTGCCTGCTTTTGTTTCATCCGTTCCATACCCTCCTGGAGTATACAGAGAACACGTCTCCGGGGCCATGTCTGTTTCACAAGGCAACGGTAGTTCTGAGTTCTTGGCTTCCTCCCAGTTTTGGAGCTGGCATGTCTGGGGCATACCTGTCACTCACCATCCTCCGGTTCTTGCAGTTGTCCCTTGTAGGGAACTGAGGTATGTTCCAGATGAAATGGGAGGCTTTCAGAGTTTTAAAGGGAAGGCGGAAAGCGGACCATGCAGATTTGCTGTGGTCTTAACCCACCCACCTGAAAGTCTCCACGGTCTCTGGGGTTGGGAATGTGCAGAGTCCTGAGACAGCACTGTTGGAAGGGGTGCTGGGAGCCAGTGGCCAGAGGGTTTCTGTGTGTGTGAGGTACTGTGAGGCTAGCTGAGCCAGTGCCCTTGTTAGGAGCCAGCTTAGCAGTCCCCCCGCCCCTGTGCTTAGCCCCTCTCTGGACAACATATGAGCTAGGTAGCACTATGTGAGATTTGCTGTCTATTCACCCGGAGACCCCATGCTCCCTCGAAGGCTTTGATGGGACTCAGGTTTTAACACCCTTGATTGCCCCTGCCCTCACCTCCTCACCCATCCCCACAGCTGCAGGGCACTTGTTAGTCCTTTAAGAAATTCCTTGAAGAACCTGGCATACAGATAGAAATTTTCCCTCACTTCCAAGGCTGGTAAAAATTTCTCCCTATTATTATATGCTTTTAGTCCGTGTTGAGAATTTGGAAGAGAAATGAAGTTAATACATTTTCTCATCTTGTGATTTTGAAACTGAAGACAGACTAGTAATTTTCATTTCTCTACTTATATTAGGATGGATTTGGCTGCATATATTGGAAAATCCCCAAATAATAGTATCTTAAACAAAATGGAAGGTTTTTTTTCCCCCACAGAAAGTTTTGAAGTGAGTCATCTAAGCTCCTTCTAGCTTCCCTGCTCCACCATCACTAGGGTGTGTGGCCCTCATCCTCAAAGTCCAGCATGGTTGCTAGAGCTCCGGCCATTACATCCACATTCTAGGCACCAGGATGCAAGGAGATGGAAGCAAAAAGACACATGCTCTCCTTTTTTAGAGAGACTTCCTCAAAGTACCATAAACCTTCTTATATCTCATTAGCCAGAAGTTTGTCAATTGACATACTCATATGCAAGGGAAACTCAGAAATACAGTACTTTAGCTTCATGGAAATGTGCCTAGCTGACAACTAGGATTCTATTACTAAAAAAAAAAGTAGGGCATGAATATTGAAAGGACACAGATGTTTCTGCCGCATCCTGCTAACCCTTCAGAAGTATTCACATGAGGAGAATTCAGTCTCTGGCTTCTCCACCTAAAATGAGCTGTGAGGATTTGGCAACCCCCAGGGTTGACAGAGGTCAGAGACTGAGAAGATCAGTGCAGATGGGGATGCAGTAGAATATTGATCGATGTGGTCATTCAGTCAGCAGATGCTACTCAGGTCGCTGTCCCCTACCAGTCCCTCTGCCAGCACCTGACCCTGGGATAGGGAGAAACACTCAGAGCATTCTGGGAGCCCAAGGAAGGGGCCTATAGAGTGAGGGCCAGAGGAGACCTCAGCTGAGCATAAACTGTGCTTTGAGGGAGGGGAGTGGGGCTAGAAGGGCACCTGGGAAAAGGGAGCAGACATGTGCAGAGAACCAGCAGCACTTTGGCCTGGCCAGGGCCTGACTGAGGCTGGCACCTCTGGAGCAGAGAGGGCCTGGCCAGCATGGACGTGACCCTCTGAACCACAGTCTGGAGGCAGACGAGGGCCAGCAAGATCTCTGGCCTGTGGCGTGGATGGCGGCCCAGGGTCGGTAGGGGAGTTAGGGGCAGACTCACAGGGAGGGAGACTCCAGTTAGAAGGCCGGGATGGGGAGGCCCCGGGCAAGAGGGCAGAGAGGTGCTGAGGAGCTGGATGTGGGGACAGGCTGGGGGTGGGTGTGTGGGGAGAGGGGCGTGTCTGGCACTGCCAGGGGCAGGCAGTTTCTGTCAGAACCACGCCATCTGTCCTGTGAGGCCCTCCGTCCCGTGTGAGCTGTCATGTCCCAGAGAGACACAGGGAAACGGATAATGCCTGTACCTCAGAGAGCTTGGGGCCCGTAAGGGAGCAGACCCTTCTCCACCAGCTCGCACCTGGTTCAGGGTTTTTTTTTTTTTTT